TAGCTATGTGTCTTATACATGTCCATCAATGTACTCTCAGAGGTTTCCAATTAATTTGCAAAGCATACTGTGAACTGTCTGAACAACTATCTGAATAACTGATTTCTATGGAAAATGAGTTTCCAAGACATGTTAGAAGTATTAATTGTAGCTGAATACATAATGTCCCTCTTTGTAATTTCTTTTCTGGAAATGACTTCCTCATCTTCGAAAACACAGAATATCATCTGTCTTTGCTCACTAGCTACTGCTGTTGTGTAAGTTTCTCTCATGCTTAGGAAGATTATTTCAATTGTTCAGTGTGATTCCTACCAAAAATCCCCCTACAACTTGTCTACTAATCTGAAAGGTAGAAAATTTAAGAAAACTGAATTTACTTGCCTATATTTCATGGTCTCACTGGTGAAAGGTGAGTTTTAAAGCTACCAGGTTTTTTTTTACACTCTGCATATATCCAGCCAGTGTATACTTTAGAGAAGAGGTCTGCTTCTCTCTCTGGCTTTTTCACTGTGGGAAAGATGATCCTGCAAATATGTGTTTTGCAGGCCTCATGAAGTGTCATAGCTAGCTTTTAACAGCTAGCTCAGGTAATAATAAGAGATTATTTGTGGTATTAATCTCACCTAATTTTAGACTAGAATTGTGCAGATCTGAAATAATCAGCGTAAGCTATTTTTACAGTCCATAAAGAGAATTAGGAAGTTGCAGGTAGGTATTAATTAATCTGATATTTTGAATATCCTTTTTAGGGTGAATTATATTCTAATTTTGTCTCCACTAGTTATGAAGGGAAAGCAGATGACAATATATATAGATATGAGCATCTATATTATAGTGATCTGTATTTGATCACATTTAAATATTTACCATAGGTCACTCCCACGTTCTGAATACTATATTTTAATTTTCAGTTTCATTCATCTGTATATTAGTCATTTTCCCTGACTATTTGAAGGCCAGCTGTCATTGACCTATGTGCCTGCAGAGCAACAATCCATAAGCACAGTGTCCATAACTGATTTTGTTTCCCATCTCCCCCATATCCTTGAATCAAAACCAGTCAAATTAAAGCCACGTGCATAATTTTTATACTTCAAGCAATGTTGCATCATGTCACAAAACTAGATTAGGAATATTTGTACTTCTTATCCTATGTATAAGGAGCTCACTCTTCAGATGTTAAATAATCCCATTTTTCATTTCTTCTATTGAAACATAACCACACATGTTGCACTTGCATTCAAGTTATATTGTATAGCAAGACTGCAGAAAAACAAATGTAAAATAGGAGTCTGAAATGGAAAAAAGTTATTACTTTCTATCTGATTTACCTCAGAAAATTTATTACTAGTGCAACTACTTACAACAAAGGTGTGAAAACAAAAAGGGCAGATTTTGATCTGATGTAGATCAAAGTATATACATCAAAAACAGTGAAGGAACTAATTAAAGGTATGGCCATTTTGTGGAAGTATTCTGATTTTTTTTTTTTTTTTGGTGAAGAGTTGCAATGTGGGAAGAGGAAATTGAAGTAACATTTTAAATTCTTAAAGTTAGGTTTTATAAAGCTGGTGTTTTCTTCTGTTTCTGTTGCAGTTGCATAAACTCCCTAGGTAAGGGCTGAGCATATGAAAGATTTTTCATTGTCTCATATTTTCATTTGATCTGGAAGAAAGCCTTGGGTAAAAGACTACTATGTTATGGTTAGAAAAGTGAAGATTCAGAATATGGTGTTCATCTTACTCTGGCTTTGCTCTGCTGTAGCTCTGTTGATTGCCACTCTGTGTGTCAGATTGTCATACTGACTTCTGATCAGCCAGCTGTTGCCTGCTTTTTTCTTTGATAGGCAGGGACAGCAGGGACTGAAAAATGCTTCTCCATATAAAAGAGAGTTAAAATGGAAAAATCTCAGTCAGAAGGAAGAAAAGAGCTTTACTTATTTTCTCTTTGATACTATATTCCAGTAGACAAATGGAAGATAGACAGACAGACACATGGAATGAGAGACTCCTGACAACTATATTGATCTCTGATGCTTAGGCTCCTTTGGGAGTCTATTCTTGTGCTTGTTAGAAAAGACTTCCCTACGGTTCCTTTACAATTCCAGAGTTTTTCTGACACCCAATATGTCTGAATCTTCCAGGGCTATCAAGAAAATAAGTTTTTGTGCTTTAAAGTATTTTTATATGGATTTGAAAATTATAATATCTGATAAAAGCTGTGTGTGTGGGAGAGGTAGTTTATTTGTTCATCTCTTTGGTTTGTTGGGTTTTTTCCCCCCAGGGCTTTATAAAACCCTTTTCTCAGTATATTCTATCAGTTTATATATATATTTTTAATTGCTTTTTTCATCTGGTCATTGTCTATCAAAATCACATTTTTTCCTCAATTAGAGTACACAACACTTAATGGTATGTTTGCATCCAGGTTAAATTGATAGTGAACGGAAAGCAAGATTATCTAAATGACAATTTGTTTTTATATCCTAGTATAATTATGCCAATTTGGGCAACAATAAGATACTCATGACTTAATGTCTTATTGATTCTGATGTTCTTGAAGCACTTTGTTGCTGGTACACAGATGCTGATGGAACCTAATAGCTTTAGAATCTTTTAGACTATGGAGTGCAGAGTTGTGTCAGATTAAGTATAAGTAAGTACACGTGGGTTTTTTTTCCATTTATGTAAGGATAGGTCTTAAAAGAGTGTAAAATGAGGTAGGCCATATGGCTTTATGTCTTATGGAATGCAAAAGAGGAAGAAATGTTTTTCCCTCCTTGCTATGGCAGGTCTCCTTTGCTTTTCTCAAGTGAGGTTCTGAAATGGGAAACAGCTCCAGTGATGAATTCTCTACTAGGCACATGGGTGAGAACATTGCTCCACTGTCCTTTGCTTCTGCTGATACATTCTTGTCCCTGTTCTGTGCTGCAGAAGGGAAAAAAGAAGCTAGCTTGCCTCAGAGAATTTACTTCTCAAACAAAAGACCAGATTTCCACAGCATTTGTGAATTTGAATCTAAAAATGGGGAAAAAAAAGATTATATATGTGATACCATGAACAGTATGAATTTTTACTTTAAATAAAATTTTAAAAGCCCCAGAACAATATTAACAAATCCTTATCGATAAAAGACATCTCCCATAAAAATTCAAGATTCCTTTGGAAGAAGTTCTATCTGTCTAAAGTTTGTTTCTGTAATATAACTCAGTGAGTAAGATTCAGATGGTTGATTACAGAGAGGCAAGGTGTCAGTTCCAATGATAATAAATCCTCATGTGTTCATATTGACATCATGTTTGTGCATCCAAATGCGAAGAGCTTTCTTTAACAAGTGCAAGTAATATAATTTACACTGTTTTGATTTGTACTAATGTGATCAAAATAAATGTTTGCATTTATGCTGCTGAAGCAGGTAGCACTTTTCTCATATTTATCCCTTATTTTAACAGTTTGGGGATTAAATTTATGATTCCAGAAAACAACTGTTGTGAGACTTTGATGCAGAGGATTAAAAAAGAAATTAGGGGAAATTAATAAAAATCAAATAAAACAAACACTTATAATAATTTTTCTAATCTTGTACTTTTCAGTCTTTACATAATCCTTTTTTTTTTCTTTAAAAACATATCTATTAACACCAAAATCAGTGGAGAAACAGTTTATACAGGAAACTACTCCTGGCACAAAAGCTTAAGTGCTGGGCAGGTGGATCATTTACAGCGTGGCTCTCCTTAAATAAAATGGTTGGCATTTTTATTTCTAGGATAGGAATTATGTGCATGCATGTGGTGTGGCACAGGTACTGGGAATCTAATGTGTCTGAATTACTCCTGATCATGACACACATCTGGATAATACATTCACTGTATAAATTATAAAGGATGTTGAATGCATCAAAATACTTTGTTGTTATATCCAATTCTTATGTTATTTATTATTCATTCTCTCCAGAAATCCAGGTGTGAGATATCCATAGAGACTAGAAAATGCACCAGGTTTTCAAATTCTGTTCAGAAAAAGTATTCTGCATGACAGGAAAAACACAGAGCAAAATCTTGCCTGTCCTTACTCATCAGCAAAACATTCAAAGCCTGTACAAAAAACATACATAATGTATTACTGGTACAAGATATGGTATTCTATTTTTTTTTCCTGAAAACATGGCTGAACTTAAAAGTTCAGTTTCTTGAATGTCTATGTACTGATCTTTTTCCCACAACTTTTTCATAGGAAAAAAACCCCTTAGTCACATATATTTTGTCATGCCTCAGGAAAGTTAGTAATGACCTTTGAAAATGTATTAATAAACAGGTAATATTTTTACCTATATTGTAGCACAGATAATTACAGTAGATGTAACATAATATTCCATTGTAATATTCATTATCCATTTATCTTTCCTATGTATTTCACAGCAGCTTGTAAACCTCTGAATTTTTAAAAGCTTGCCTTAGAGAAAGTTATAGTCTTAGATTAATCAAGAAAGCAGAGACAAAAAATCACATGAAAATAAAGACCTCTTAATATCTCTTGAATTTTTGTACTTGTGAGTTATATATGGGGACTTTAAAATAATTTACTTTCAATATTTTACATTCTTTTACTGTCACTGAGAACAAATGGCTTAGATAAAAATGGCTTAACAGAAAAACAATAAATATTTATTTTTCCTGCTTTATCATTAAACTAGGAAACATAAAAATAAAACTCAAGTCTCAGGCTTTTCCCAAGACTAACATTTTTCATTAAAATGCTACACAAATTTCAGTTTAGCCTTTTTGTATGCCTGAGGCAATTTCTGAAGAGCTCTGAATTTTGAGGCTTTTCAGACCTACAGCTGGAAAGAACGGTATAAAGTGTTTTGTGCTATTGTGTGGTTCATAGGCAGACACAATTTTTTTATTTGATCCCTTTGTATTTAGCAATCACTTATTTCTTTTCAATGTTGGTGATTTTTACTTTTTTTTTCTTTTCCTTTTATTTTTTTTAATTCATCAGGACTGTTCTGCACTTCAGCACGTGGTATCACTTGGTGACCTCCCTGAAGCTGAACACAAAGGAAATTGTTGGATTTCAAAAGATCTATCCTCTGCTTGCAGAATGCATCTTTCTAAATGAAGAGTCACCAAATGAGAAAGGGATGGTTTATGTACAAGTTACCTTCCATCAATTTTGAGCAAGTTATAGGAATGGCAGCTTCCTTAAGGTAAGCATAGTTCTCATCTGTCAGCAGCTCCCTGCAGCAAAATTTTTCTAATGCTTAGTAGTAGAATGAAAAGATTTTTTTTAAATTCTTTTGAAGCTGTTATAATTTGACAGAGGAAATGGATGAAAGCAGTTTCCATGGCTGGTGCCTTACTTTCCACTCAAGCATCATCACTGAACACCAGCAGTGAAACACTCAGGGGTGGCACATCCTGCTTGTGCCAACAGTTTGCTGAGGTAGCCATGGCTGACTACAGTGTGCAGGGAATTAAAAGACAAAATTTTTAAAAATAACAACAAAAACAAATAAAAACCAGAAAGAGAACCAGCAAAAAAGAAAATTTATATCTAAACCAAGCAGTATTCAATATTGCAACTACCAGTACAAAGCTGGCAAAGTCTAATTAGAGAGTCATGTGCAGGTTATCCTGATTGTGAGCTAGAAGGCTGTACCAGAAAGACTGAAATATTCTGGAAAAGAAGTATCTTAATGCCCACAGCCTCTGTCCCATGGTAAGAATTTTAAATCTGTTTTGGACACCTTAATTTTCATCAGGGAACCAGGTGATAAACAGAGATCCAGGGAACCTTGACAAAATCTTGATCTTAAGATAACAAACTAAGTGTTCATTACCACATTGTTATCTTGAGATAACCAAGTTGTCTGAAGCTAACCAAGCTAACTGCAGTGGGTTCTGGTTAAAGGCCCAGTGCAATAAAGGTGAGTGACAGAGAGATTTCTCTGATTTCTCTGAGGGCCATACTGCAACAATTTCCATTCTATTTACCAATGTCATGACACTTTCTGCCTCAGAAAATCAAGCATAAAGACACACTCAAAACCCAATGCAATTACAAGACATGTCTGATCTGAAGAATTTTGTCTTTATATGCCTGGATAGATTTTGAAAATAATTTTTGAGGAGGAAGCTGTTATATGGCACTTAAAAATTCAAGCATCAAAAAGATATAATGCCTGTAAGGGGAAATATAAATGGCAAACTGAAAGAAGATTAAATGAGTAACTCATAGAGCCTATAAGCTATGGAAAAGAGATAAGATAAATGGCTAACTCAATTTGATGCTACAGCTGGAAGTCTAGGTTTACAGAGAGGCTCCTTCTGTTGCTTTTATATAGACTCTTTATTCCCATCAGGTGATGAATGCTTGGGGAGGTTAGGTTATGAGCATAATAAATGTTCAGAACTCTTCCAAAATACGTGCAAATTACAAAGCTAAGAGTACATGCCTAAGAATAATTTATAATCCTTATATCAGTCAGGACAATGTAACAGCGGCACAAGTTCATTTTGCACAGGAACAGAGCAGATTCTGACAGCTTTGCACTACAGTTTACAGGAAAAGAAATGTTGTCTTGGTATCTCAAGTAAATGCTCTCAATGATACTCATGCTGGCAAGTTGTGAGTTAGGACACCCAATTTCCCTGAGCTTCCTCTTTGCAAAGAAAGAATAAAACTGCTGAAAATATACTGATAGAGAAGTGCTAATTTTAAAATAATTGTCTGTACCATTTAATGATCACAAATTAGTATCCCAAGAATGGCACGTTTTCTTAATTAGTATCCTGTTGGTGTTAAAGGAAAGGCCTGGTAACATGAAAATATTGTACCAATATTTTCTAGGAAAAATAAACTAGGAGCTATTATTCCTAGGAACAACAGGAACAAATTAAGGGCTTTGGTTTCCTACCTGGTAAGTAGTGACAATTTTTTATAAAATTTCTGCATGTATGTAAGATCTATGGAAAGCCATATGTAATGGTTGGTAAAGCAGTTCACATGAAATTTCTTTATAGGCAGAAGTTCTTATGGTTCTTTGAGATGACATTCAAATTTCAGTAAAACCATGTGATTTAGATGGAAGAAATATTTTAGGAAGAGCAGAGTACTGACTGATTGTGGTTTAACTCTGTTTATTTGGTATTGAATAAGGTGTGCAAACTCAGGCATAGGTATGGAGGCATCATGAAAGACATGAAGACAATTTGTCCCAAAGTCTTGTAAACTCATGTTAGCTTGCAACAGAGTGAAAACAAATAAAACAAAAATGTTTAATTTATCCTGAGTGTAAATTCTTAAACAATGTAATACTCTGCTGCTAGCCAAAAAAGTATGTAGTAAAGAAAATTGAAAAACATCATTGGAGATTCAGAAATGTTTCATTTGCAAAGGCAGACACTTAATGGGTCACATTTTCATTTTCTATGCAGCTTTGGTCCTGAGTGAGGCAATAGCCTGTGGTGAATATATGTGATCCTGTAGCTGAAGGTCATGTCATAAGCATAATGACAAAGGAATTACAATTGTCCAAGGAAATGTTAATATTTCATGTCTTAACATTTGTGACTTTCTACCTAAATAATCCTAATTTAATCTATTTTTATATAAAGATTATGTAATTGACTAAGATTTGCATTTAATGCAAAACAGGTAAAAAAGTTATGAATATGTTTTCTCCAATGTAATGTGTAACTAAATTAAATTTACAAGATCTTTACATCTGGGGGTAGTCACATAATTTTGTGCTATGTTTATTAATGGGTTACCATTCTTGTGTTTCTGCGTAATTGTCACATTAATGTATCAGTTCCTGTTCTCTCCATTTTCAGAAATACATGCACAGAAGGAAGTTGGATTTTAGAATACACAGGAAGCTAAACACCTTTTTCACTGGGAAAGTAAGGGGAAGGAGATACTTTCTTATCCTGAAAGTTTTCTCCTGTCAGTGTTCACAGGCATTGTGCAACTAAAAAGGAAACAGACAGATCTTCTTGAAAACATCCTGTGAGCTTTTCATTCACTATATGAAAAAATGGCTTTTTAGAATTTCAGAGCAGAAAATACAGAAAAACTTGTGATATATAAAGAGTAGATAATAGAGTCCTGATCTGGTCTGTCTAATCTGTGATTTTTTTTTTTTTTTTTTTTTTTTTNTTTTTTTTTTTTTTTTTGTATTATTCCCAACTTCTTTGGCTCTCAGCACTCTCTGTTATTTTGGTTTCAGAAGTAGTTATTTTCATTCTGAAAGTATGATCATTGCTGACAATATAGACTGCTGGGTAACAGCAACAATTTTACGATTTCTTTCCTCATGGACATGATCCCTTGTGAGAATTGATGGCTGGGGGAGAGCAGAAGGCAGGCTCTGTCACCTCAGCCAACCTCACCTGAAGGGAAAATATTATATCCTTTCCTATTCCAACACTGGAAGTAGTGCTAAACATATGCATAACATGAATGGGGATGTCTGGAAGTCAATCCTTAGTCCTAAACTGCATTTCTAATGATTCAAATAAAAAAATTACAGTGGTTTAATCAGAGCCTGTAGTTCCACACTATGACAAATCTAAAAGTCTCTTCTTTCATACAGTTGAGACTCCACATTAATGATAGGACAAGCCTAAACAGTTCTTGCCAATCAGTAACAGCTTACAATATTTATAGAAGAATTTATGTACAGACTGGGAAGCACTGTATTATTGTTGGCATAAATCTACCAGAAAATTTCAGGTATGTACAAGTTGATAAAAGTCATCTATGTGTGTTGACATTTTATATTATAATATGAGGAGAACATTTCTTAATTTGATGATGTTCAAACATAACTGATGATACATAAAATTTATGTTACCAAAATACTTGTATTTTGTTTTTGAATCACAAAAATTATAAAATTATAACTTTTTTTTATTTAGATCTAGCTGTTTGATCATTAGACATTCTTTTGTTTAAAATAGCTTGAGCATGTGTTAAAATATCAACTGTGCAGTGCTCTAAATATTTCTAACTTTATGCTTCTGTGATCTACACAATACATTTTTATTCCAATTTATCAGCATAACTCTCATCATTTAAGTTTTCAATTTGATCTCTAGCTGCTTATTTTATCTAGGACCCAGGCCTTCCTGAAAACTTCCCACCCAGAATTTAGTATAGAAGGACAAAAATATGCTCAATGGAAAATCTGTTTTTGCTTTCCTGATATAAAAATTATTTTGAAAGTGAGACTAGTAGGCAACATGAGTTCTGAGCCTACAGCATGTTGTCTTTAACTGTGTACTCTTCTCCTTTCAGCTGTTTTGCTTTGTAACTTATAGTGTGAATGTTGGTTCCCTTAATTCTTCCTTCTAGGTCTTTTAATTATACCACAACCAAAGATTTTTATGTAGTATCTCCAGTTACAGCTCTCTACCTTGTACAACATTGGAATTTTATATAAAAATGAATAATGTATATGACACAGCATTAATTGTTCTACTCAGACTGTTGTGTTCTTCCTCAACTCCCCAAACTCACATCCCATCCCTCCTACTCAGAAACAGAATTTTGCTTGTCCAACTCATTAGATCTCTGCAGCAGCACAAGGTAGTAACACACAAATGTTATCACAGCATTTATAGGGTCACTGGATTTTAAAAGCCAAAACAGGCACTAAAGACATAATCATGACATGAAACATCCTTCTTGTATCTTATATGGTGGGAAAAATATCTGACTTAACAAAACAGCATTCCAGTGTTCCTTGGCTCAGAAGTTTGAATTTTTTGCTTGTTTCAATACAAAGTAATTTTACTCTGCCTTCCAGGCCCTAGACAGTTTATGCCTGCTCACTTGGTGCTGAATTGAAGAAATTCAGTTCCTTCTGCTTGCAAATATATATGTTGACTGTATCCTGAATTATTTTCTTCTCTGAGGGGCCTTCTCGGGAGTAAACAAGACCAGAATCATAGTGACTGTACTCTCACATGCCAAACATTCAGCTGCAAGCTTTCTACTGCACTTCTGCCCTAGGAAATGTGTCAGAAGGTGCAAATTCTTTGGGGCAGCTCACAGAATATTTGTTTTGCCATACCAGGATCTACTTCTACATCCTTTGAAGAGGTTGTAATTAAGTGTGCACTGTTTTCTCCTCCTTTACTTCAATTAAGGTGGGTCTCTACATGTATTTCTGAGTATGAATCTTACATTATTTTGTACTTCCTCTCAGGGTCCTAATTTTACATCTCATCTATGAAAAGGTCATTTTAAATATTTTATTTCTTGGCTTGTGAATTGTTAACAATATCCATAACGACCACAAATATCTCCTGGCATTTCTTTATCTGGCTTTCCAGAAAAGGTCTAATGAGTATTTTTTCCAAGAACTTATGCACATACTTTTGTTGTTTTTCTCCATTTTCATTTCTCACAGCTTAAAGAGATACACTTCATGATGGCTTGCTTCTGTATTTACAAGATTTGGGCTGAACTCTGAGTCTAGAGCTGTTGGGTGCTGAAGATGGCAGCTGAGGAGCAGTCTCCACTACATACCAGGACTTACTCCTTTTGGATCCCATATAACTTCTACTTTCCATATCTGTTTTGCTTTTGTTGAGGTCAAAGTAATGCTTTTTGATATCTATTGAAGAACTTGGGCATTCTTAATGACAGAACTCTTAAGGAGAGATTAGACTGACTTCATTCACTCTCCAGCCAGTCATCCCAGGCATCCTTGAAATAAAACCTAACAAAATAAACTTTTACCTTTTAAACTGTGGTAAGACTAACATGGAATTCTCTTTATATGTTCAGATACTAAAGAAAACAAAACCTTCCTAATGTGCCAAGCAGCAAAATGGGATCAATGAGCTCATACTTCTGTGGCATTTTTGCCACTACATCAGGAAATGGTTGCTATGGAGTGAAGGTTGCTGCTAAGGTGACTGTAGGGTAGTGTTTATTTCTTCCTTCCTTTATTTTCTTGAAAGACATTAGGTTTTTCACTTGTTCAAATGGTCACATTTTTCTTTTCTTAAGGAAAACAAGTATCCCAAAACATGCACTGGACTTCATTCAATGAAAATATCAACCAGCAAGAACTACCTTATTGAAAGCCTATGCAAAAATTTCCCATTGGTTTGTAATTTCTACTTAAGTTATGGAGTTTTCTTTCCTCACTTTTCCTCTGAATTCTGCTACATTTTATGCTCAGACATCCTAATTGCCTAAAGATAAAAGTGTTCTTCCTTTCATTTGTGGATCTTCCTTTCTTTTAGTATTATTACGTATAATTGCTTATATCCAGGTCCTATTGACTGACATTGAGACAGTTTCTGATGCAGTGGAATGATCAGCTACTTTCTTGCTGTAGATGTATTATCTGAAAAATGATAACTGTGATGCAGCTCTATTACATGCAATGACGAGGACTTCACTGTTTGCTGCTGTACATAGACCTTTGCAGTGAAATATGTAAAACTTGTCACTAATTGGAATTCTGACTTATTATTCTGTTTTGCTTTCTTTTTCTGAAAAACTTTCTGTTGGAAAGAGATAAGTCTTAGCAGGCTTCTAATTTAATGTATGTGCATTTTTCATATTACTAATAATTAGTATTTAAATGTGCCTTAGTACATGTAGAAAAATATATTATGAACTGATTAGAGGTGATTATTAATTTGTAAGTGAATTTGTAAATGAAGTCCTCTAATGGATTTAATTCAGAAGAAATTCTACAAATTTCTTACTAAATCCTCTCAGATTTTAAAAGACTAATTCCAGGATAAAATAAGTCTGTATTCTGATGTGTTTGCTTTTATGTCTCATGACATGAAAAAAATCAGATTAAAAAAACAGAAGCCAACTTCTAAGGCAAAGAGTAAAAAGTTCAACTTCCTAGCATTGTTCTTCTAGATATGTCCATGTACCTAAAAATATGTTTAAAGATGAATGATTGAAACAGTAATTTCTAACAAAGGGAGGTTTTACTTTTTTATTTATTTATCTGTTTGTTCTTCCTGGCTGCTCAGAGTTACAGGGTGTCAGGTAATTTATAAAATAGATAGATCTATCTTTATATCAGAATCTAAAGAAGTTGCACAGCTGGAATTCAGCAGTCATTGAAAAGAATCTATTAATTACCTGAATAAAAATTTCAAGTTAATAGATGCTCAAGGAGCATTTATCATTTCTTTCCATTTTTCAAACTGTTTTTCTTTTTTTTTTTCCTCAGAGTAATGCTGCTATTTGGAAATGTGAAACTGGATGAACACTAGGAAAGCCAATGGTGTAAGGTGATTGGCATATGGTTAGCAAAACTACCCCTCCCTATCAGAAAGCATGGTTCTGACTCCGCAGAGGTGTTTGCTTTTGAGCAGGTATGTGGGATATGAGTACAGAAACAGGGTGTGGATACCATTCTGTCTTAAACGGTTGTAAATAAAATATTTCATTTCTTATTAGTTTCACTGTATTGTTAATAAAAAAATAAAATCTTCTTTTAGGGATAGATCAATTTTTATTAGCATTATGAACTACCCAGACAGAAAAAATATTACTCAAGTTTACAGTACTCTGTGTGTTCCACTGCTAGAGCTCCAAACACAGAGTTCACACTGTTGCCATAATTTGCTTAGCATGTTTTAAAAAATGTAATTGCATATTAATCTGAAGTGGAGGATTGTATCACTTTTATAAAAAAATTCTTTACTATACAGAATGCATTTTGTTTGTCTAATGGTGGGATATATATTTGCATGTATGCACTCATAGCATTTGTATGTGTATGACAGTGCATGTACTCTACATGTGTGGTCTACATGCATATTTATTAAGTAAGAAATAAAAAAATTAAAAATCTGGAAAAAATACAAATATAAATCAAACAAAATATAAATCTTAGTTGTTCTATGCTCCCTTAAAATATATTTACATTATTAAACAAGATATTAATGTTAAAGTTAGCATAAATGAGCTGTGACCGTTCCGCACATACTGCACAATTGTTAACACCTGCATGCGCTTCATAACCCTGCTTACTGACATCTATTTCATGTTGTAGTCTTGATCACTTATTTTCTCTCTCTCACTTTTCCACTCATTAAGTGGTTTCAGAAAATCTTTTCATGAAGCAGAGGCAAATGAATAGCTGATCTTGTGACTTTTTCAAAGTACTCGAAGGATTTACTGAAATTTATTTTATCCTTTTTTTGACTTTGTTATATATGAAATAAAAGAATACATAGCCTTCAAAATATTTCTGGATAGCTTCCTGATTTTAGTCTGCCATCATACTCTCTGATTTTAAAACTTAAACTGCAAGCTACAATATAAGTGCGTATTTAAGTGTATAAGTGTGTATTTATGCATATACAATATTTGTATTGGTCTCAATATGGAGAAAAATTAAAAATTTAATCAAGATAGACATATGAATATAAAACCCCACAAAACAATACTTTTGCCTGTTTCTCATAGATGGAAAACATTGTGATAATTCTCAGCCACCAATACACTTGTCTTATTTTTAATATATCTTTTCCACAACATTTTGGAAGACTTATTGCTAATCTATTCTTATGACTTAAATATTAGAGAAAAGGGCGAGAGGTCATAAATCCTATTTTATTTTACATTTTCACAACTCAGAACTTTCTGCCTTTTAGGAAAACTCCAGCATCCTATTGCTTTTTCTTGCATTTCTCCTTCCAGTCTCATCTCCTTTCTACATCTGAAAGTCAAAGTATCTGTGTTCATTGGCAGAGAGGCGTGTAACTGAATCTTCTTTCCGCTGAATTTTTTGGGACAAGTTAGAACCAATTAAAAGGTTCAGGTGAAGATGTCAAGATAAATTTCAGTAATTTTTGTTTCACTTTATGTCTTGTGAATATTGGTAAAATGCAGTTCCCAAATTTGTAACGCAGAATTTTGAGGAAACATTTTGAATGTCATCTCTGTTCTCTGTAGTCCCTTGAGTGAAATCCTGGGGAATGATTTTCATAGTCACAAACTTTGAACCTTCAGATCTTTCTACACTCTTTTTCTTTTAAATATCTAACTGTGAAATTAGGGTGTACACTCCTGTGTTTCTGTTCTTTATGCAATGTATCTGAGATGCTTTCTCTGGTATGTTAATTTGGCTAGCTTATCTTTCTTTGCACAATACTTTGCATCTCATTGTCCATCCATGTCAGCAAAGTCTCACAAACTCTTTCATGGATTAATTTGATTATGCTTTAGAATTTACAGTTTTAAAATCCTTGCAAGTTTTCATGCCTACATAGTTGAAATTTGCCTTTTAGAATAATACACTTATACATCAAAAGTCTTTCTCAAACCAGGATTTTGGTTATAATGTCTTTATTTTGTCCCTGCCCTGTGTGTTCTATTTATGAAGTAAGAAGGAAAAGTAGAAGCTTGAAGATTGAAAGGAAATAAACAGGTCAGCTTCCCAAGTGAAAATAGCTGCTTTACCTTCTGGTAAAATTGTTTCTTCAAATATGTCAAATAATTGTAAATATAAAAACTTAACAAATTTAAGTAAATTATAAAACAAAATCCTTGAAAAATAGTTTCTAATTTACTGTAATTTATGTATGAATTTATATTTATTATGATACAATTTTGTAAACACTAAGGATGCAAAAATTATTAGTTTCTTCTTTTTTCTATACTCACACTTAAATTCCTATAGAATCCTGCTTCAATGGACCAAAAATAACTTGTCAAGATTAGAGTAAGTCATTTGTCCTTATAGATGAATACAAAATTATTTTAGCTGGTCGGCTGGTAAGGAGACTTACCGTAGAGTTTTGCTTTATTTATAAGTAAAACTGCTTTATTCTTGTCCCTGCTTCTGCCTCCATAAATGACACAAGACACTCAGGAACAGTTCAAATCTCTGTGGTGCTGTTTCAGTCAGCCTTGCTCTGAGCTAGAGCTACAGGGAAGCAGACTATCCCTTAGTCTTTAGCTCCTTGTGCTGGTGGTGGCTGGGCTGTGGTTGATTTTCTTTGCAGTAGCCTCTGTATGGGGCTGTGTCATGGTTTTATGCTGGAAACACTATTGATAATCCAGGTATATTTTAATTATTGCCAAACCACTTTACACAGTCAAGGCCTTTTCTGCTCCTCACCCCACCCCAACAGTGAGGAGGCTGGAGGTGCACAAGAAACTGCAAGGACACAGCTGAGACAGCTGACCCCAGCTGACCAAAGGGATATCCCACATCATATGGCCCATGCTCAGCAGGTAAAGATGGGGAAGGAAGAAGGAAGGGAAGAAAATTTGAAATTATTATATTTGTACTCCTGAGTAACCCTGATGTGAGATGGAGCTCTGCTTTCCTAGGGGTGGCTGAACATCTGCCTGCCCATCAGAAATGGTGAATGTTTTACTTTGGTTATGTGAGTGTGGCATTTCCTTTCCCTATTAAAATGTCTTTATCTCAACCCATGAGTTTTTTCACTTTTATTTTCCTGATTCTCTCCCCCACCCTCTAGTTACACAGAACCACAACACTTCTCCACTGGGATTACTGTTTTATAGGTAGGTCTTATATGTAATGCTGCCCACTGCAAATTGACTACATATTAAATGATTCTCTGTATCTGTCTCACTGTTCACTAAACCACCATGAAATGAAATTAGCTTTTCTTCATTACTAACTCTAGTCATATTCAAGTGAGAATATTACAGAAAATTATTCCGGATGATCAATTTTCTGACCCATGTACTATAGTCTAATTTGGAGCTTTTATGCAGTTGATTTAGGGTGGTTTGTTTGGTTGGTTTTGTTTTTGGTTTTGTTTTAAAACAGTAGTTTCTGATTCAGGTGCATAGCACCTGAGAAAAACTCTAAAACTTCTGCTGTGTCTCCTTTGTTTTATGATAGAAAACTTTGATTCTTTGTAAGTGCCTACTTTTTAGCCATTGTTTTGTATTTCTTTGTTCTTGCATTGTCTTCCATACCTTTCACGAACCATCTCCAGGTTTTCTTTTCCAGCGTATCATTTTTATTACAAGCAAGTTAAAAGCAGGAGAGCTTGTTAAGGCAAAATATTTCTTCTTTTTTTACCTCTTTATCTGTCTTTTAATTTATTTAGGTATTTCATCAATATTTTTCATTTTGCCAGAGAATAATTTAAAAAAATTTAAAATTCTGTTGTCTGACATCTTAAAGGGTGTAGCAAATGATGATGTTGCATGAAGGCATTGTAGATGTCAAATAAAAAGGCAGCAACATTTCACTCAGTGGTGTTTATTATTTACTTTATTTCAGGTGCCAGCAAAAAGGTGAGAGAGAATAATTCTTTCATTGACTGAAAGAAGGGATTTCTGTAAATAATGTAAGTTGCATAGAAAACAAGGCACTGCTATCAATCTCAAATACATATAGCCTTCTAACATCAACCATCAAAGCCTTTACATTTTCCAAGAGGAGCACACATGAACAAAGGGAGAGATTAGCCTGTGGATGGATGGAGAAATGAGTGGAAAATGAATGATTTATATAGTACCCAGTTGGGCTCTCCCTGGCAATTTTTTTTTTTGATTGGTGATTTATTGATTTTATGGGGAAAAAAAAAATGGGGGGAGTAGGTATAGCTTGCTGTATTTCCAAAGCAAAACCCTGCTCAGTTTCAAACTGGAAGCATTGTACATCCACATGTTTCAGTACCTGGGAGAGAAATGCTAGGTAAGATTCCCATGCCAGCTGCAGGTGCCCAGGAGTGGACAGAAGGAGCTGCAGGGGCGGCCTCTAAGGGAAAAGGCCAGGGGCTGCCTCGTGCCAGGCACAGCCCATCCCAACCACAGGGCACAGCTGAGCCCTTCAGTCACACTCATGGCACGTTTTGGAAGGAGTATTCAAGAAAGGCACAAAACTCTGGAAAGAGAGAGGTGGAGAGAACCAAAAAAGAGTGCGATGAAGGTCAACATCCGATGAGGGGAAAGTGTTGACACAACAGACCAACAAAATTAATTTAAATTTCTCCAGGTCAAGCCTGTGCTGACCACAGCACGAGCTGATAAGTGTTTTCCCTGCCTTTATCCTGACCACAGGATTTCTCCTTCATGTTCTGTTTTCAACCCTCTCCCACAGAAACTGGAGAATGAATGGGTCAGTGGGTTCTTGGCTGGTAGCCTTGGTGGTCAGGGATTTGAGTTAGAGCAGAATGTGGAGCAAATGTAGTTGCAGAAATATATGAGAACAGCAAAGAGAGCTGGAATTTGCCCCATTTCCTCTTTCTTCATGGATCAACAATACAAGTCATCAATTGCTGTTCATCAGATTTACATGTTGCTGACTTTTTTTGGATAAAACAATAGGATTGATTGATATCACCACTGGATGAGATAATGTACACAATTTTGTCCTCCAGAGAGCTTGCCAGTAATTTTGGTGCACTGGCCAAGCTGAATATTTTTGGCAGTTCAAAGAATGCCCAGCAGATCAGCTGAGTGCCAGTTCTAGATGTCATTGTTATTATAAACCTATTCATCTCCCAGGAGGCCACAGGGGGAGTTTAAGCTGCCTTAATGCCTCCACACCACTCTCAGCTTCCACCTTTCCACATTGTGTTGCTTAGTGAACACCATCTCTCTAGGATTTTATGGTGACAGGTAAGTTTATAACAGTATTTTGTCAAGCAAGACACCAAAAATAGTGCAATTAATGCAAATGTCATTGTATTTTAGTCACTACTTTTTTTAATATTGGTGCAATAGAGTTTAATTTCTCTGTGATAGATCAAATTCAATTATGCTGCCAGTTTTTAGATTCAATTAACAAAAGCTATAAAAATAAGTTAAGTAAACATATGGTTCTTTTCAGCTGTCTTCCATGCAAATAGCAAGCAGAAATATTTATTTGTTTTCCCAGATATCAAATTTCTGTTGCCCAAATTGTGCCTATGGGTATAACCATGCTGAGGTTGTTTAAAGTATGTTTTTATTTTCTGTAATGATTGATGTGTTAGGGAATCTTGGGAAACTTGTCTTTCCAAAAGGCAATTTCAAAAAGAAGGAATTTTTCTTTATAGTGATAGGAACTATTCATGGAAAAGATAAGCCACAACATTTTTCAGGTTCTAATGAACATTATAAATTAATGGAACTTCTAAAGAGGAATCAGAGTTATTTTCTTTCAAAAAGAATTTGCTTGGCTTTCTCATTAATTAAATATGATTTCAAGTATGAAAGTAGATAAAATTGATTCTGTACTAATCAACACATATTGCCTGCCTATGGCACTAATATGCTGAAGCACTCTGTGAGAGTGGTCTGAAATCAATACAAAAGCACTTAAAGCAATGTTCATAGCTTTCAGCTGTGATGTTTTCAGGCTGTTTGCTATACAATTAACAAAGCTAACAAACTGTACAAATTAAAAATATTAAACCATATTCCCTGAGAAGGAAAATACAGTATTATATTAAGACTGAAAGTTTTTGTTCTTGATATCTTAGAGCAAATTAAGTTTTTTTGTGTAAGAAGGTAATTATGGAAATCACTTATAAGTTTCTTGGGTTCATACATTTGGGGTATTCTTAATTTGGAAATTGATTTTATTTTCTTGTTATCCTAAACATTCAGATTTATAATTTTTTGTTTGATTGTTTACCATTTTTGGTCATAATTATTTTTATTTAGACTATAAGGCTTCTATGATCAGTATTTTGT